GAGTCATCACTAGCAACGCTTTTAAATTAATTTAGAAATTGCTTTCGACAAATGTTGAGGAACTGTACGTATTTTTAATTCATTACCAGAGTATGCTACATCTACAACATCTTCAAAACTGTAAAGGTTTAAGTTAAATATAGAGACAGTAACTAGAACTTCTTTAATTGATTCTATTTCTAAACCACATATATCCTTAAAGTTTCCACTAGGCTTATAGCAAGAGTAAGTTGTATATATATATATATATATATATATATATATATATATATATATATATATATATATATATATATATATATATATACAGAGAGAGAGAGAGAGAGAGAGAGAGAGAGAGAGAGAGAGAGAGAGAGAGAGAGAGAGAGAGAGAGAATTACAAATATGCTCCAAAAAGAACGTAAAGCTCTATACCTTGATTATACAGGGGAATGCCTCACAATATCTGGCAGTATAAACGGCGCTCATCACCTTGCCAACATGGATCAGTCCATTTACCATCACAACTACGTACATCAAAAGTGATGCTACAAAGTTGGTATTACATGCACTCGTGCGCAGCTGACACTATCGCATGTCGACCTAGTAATTAATTCTCATCTGACTATACAGTGACCCTGGATTCCTTCGACAGAAATTAAGGTATATAGAATTAATTAAAGAAAAGTAAACACCAAAGAGAACGGAAACTGCTATTCCTGGATTCTGCAGGAGTTTGCTTAATAATTCTTGGCTTCATTAATATATGACACTGTCAGAACACACGCTTGATATGAAATGTCCGATGCTTTTACGGACCGAAGTTGTTTACGTTTATCCGAGCGAGTTTGCGATTCTTAAAAAGCAAACCAAACAAATGAAAAACATCTAACGTGGACATTTAAGATTTTTTTGAAGTAGCATGGCTCCATCGCGACGAACCTGCAAGAAATCAATGAATTTGGGGAAATGAGAGACTCTGGTGTGTCGGTGGTTGCGCTTTCCAAACACTACGTCAATAAAAATACAAATGGAATATTTAAAACGCCTGTCGATGGGATGAGTGGAGACTGATTATATGATAATGAAGCTGCAATAAAGTAATATATGGATGTATATATGGCTGAGGTGCCCTCCCCACAAAGAGTAATATCTTCATTTTACCATAAGATCGCTGAGATACCCTTTCCACCAATTGCAGTAAATTCATTTCACCATATAAAAAACTGTTAACAAACGAATGTATAATCTAATAACAACTATTCGAATTGTTTTACTAATATATATGGTTTAGAATAACCTTAATTTCTTATTTTAATAGTACGCCAGTCTGGATCGTATTTTTGTTTTGTATGTAATCATTATAATGGGATTGGTCAATTAACATTTTTATAACCAAGCAGTCTGTTCTACAAAAATATATAACGAAACTGCAGACTTTATCATTGGTCGGCAAAGAAGAAATTCAATATGAAGTATTCTACATATATCCATACGGGTGCTTAACTATCTTTGGTGTTTTTTTTTGTTTAAGATTACAATTATTATTTCATGTAAAAAATGGATTCTGACCGAACTGATTTGCTGACGAAGTGTTAGACCGGTGCACAGTGGATGCAAAAGGGAGGATGATTTTATTCCACTTGTCGACGAATATCTGCGTCAATGTGGCATTAAAGAGAACTAGTATGCAATACAATATAACCTGTTTAAGTGCCATAGAGAAATGAAAATCTGGGACCAGCCTTAATTACCAATAGCAACTCGGGGTCAGCTTGGTCTTAGAGCATTAACACCTAAAATTTCTCGATCGGTGACTGCACATCTACGCATGAAAACACTCTGAAGTGGAATTAACTGACAGATCCATCATACTTAACATTCACCGAAGATTATGTTGCACCAACATAGACTCAACATAGACTCAACCAAGTGGAAACAAATCTTGACTTTTTCAGCAAGGACGCATTTGTCTGTGGAATCAGTTTTAGGACGAATACAAGAACATTCATTTCAGAAACTATTCATTGGTGTAGTCGGTGTATTTCAAGGTAAACATGATGCTAAGACGCCAGAACAGTCACCTGAGACTTAGTTTTTACTCAGGCAGATAATTTCTATAATTGTAAGACAGTTGTGCCATCAAACAAAGAATAATTGATTGGAAGTACATATGCTTTTGTACCTGAAGAAGACTGAATTGTTTGGCGATACCATCATTAAAAGAAGAACTATGTTAGACCCTTAAATGTACCAACTCAAGAAAACAATTATAGTTATACGAATCGGAATTGTTGGATCCATATTAACAATAACTGCTGTAGACTGGCTGTGCTGGTAAAATAATCTCGGACAATTGCATTCGCAAATACGAGTATATTGAGAACTTCTCGCTGCAACACAAATCATTATCAATAAATGATGGAGGTAATGTATGAGTCAACTTAGCTAGATTATATCAAATAAGGGATGAGATCATTACAGTTACAAAACTGTAAAAAATTCAGAAAGATTTACTTCCTGTAACTGATAGCATTTTTGCCATTAAAAACCTCCAGTTATTGTATGAAATCCATAAAAATAGATGAGACCTACAAGAATGATCTAAATCCCATAACTGATAAATAATGATGGACGGTTGCAATGCTGTGGAAGACAAAATTTCAGATCTGGATAAAACAATAACAGCAACTGACAAATCTATTGTGATACCATTACAAAAGCTCCTAACTCTTGAAATGCTTTTATCAGTAGCAGGAAGCTTTACTACAAATATAATATAGTATTCTATGGGGCACTGATAGGATAAAGGAGGAAAAAATATTTACAGAAGAATTGGCATGTGACGCAGAAACAAGTAATCGAGGAAGAACCGACTGAATAAGGCAACTCACAAACATGTACTACGTCCTGTCTGTGCACTGATTATGCCGTGGGGAGATTAATACAAATCATGTATATTCGTGAGAATCTTCATGTATACAGTTTAAGTTACAATTGTACGATAATATCAGGTTGGTTCCAGATCTAGGTTAATCCTTCCCTCTCCCCACGACTACCCTCTGCTACCAACGAAACATGGCAACGTTCGTGCGAAGGCTCACATAAGAAAGATCACACTTTTGTGGGAAGAGGTTTCATCCTAGATCAGTAACAAATATAAAAACTGTCATTATCATATTACTATGTGTGTGTGTGTGTGTGTGTGTGTGTGTGTGTGTGTGTAAGAGAAAGAGAGAGAGAGAGAGAGAGAGAGAGAGAGAGAGAGGAATGAACTACCAAGGTCACCATTACTGTTTTTTCATGCAACATAAATAGTAAACCAAGAAATCTCACAGTTTTAAAGTTTTATTTGGGTTTGTTTCCCATATAATATCCGTAATGACTCTTAGTTTTGTTTTAAATTAAAGGATCATGGTTTGTGTTCTAAATTTGTAGCGGCATGTACCACATGACCGGTATACAAGCAATCTGATAAGACGCTTGCAATGATGATATAGACTACAATGAAATCAATCGTCAGTTCGAGACGTCATGCAGTAATAAGGTAAACACATTCTTATTTGGTTTTATCACGAAAGGATATCTACATCTAGTATTAACTCCACAATACATACTATTTTGGAGAGAGAGAGAGAGAGAGAGAGAGAGAGAGAGAGAGAGAGAGAGAGAGAGAGAGAGAGAGAGAGAGAGAGAGAGAGAGAGAGAGAGAGAAAGAGAGAGAGAGACTAACATTTACATAAAGTGTATATTATACATTCTGTTTTTAAATAGCACATTGTACAGAAATTTGTTTCTTTGAATAATTTATATCGTTTATGTGACTTTTTTTTGAAATTAACAAAACTGAGTGATATGAAATTTATAACACCTAATAATACATTTTATGAAGCGATACCTTAGTACCAAATATACAGAAATCCTGCAACGTGTACTTATGGGATTCAATAGATCGATAAAAATATATAATTTCGATAATTTTGACGTCAATAATATAATGTTTTATGTCTCGATAATTTCATTATTTATCATTTCATGCATTCTGTTGCTTTTCTAACTTCAATCGATCGATCGATCGATCGATCGATCGATCGAGAGAGAGAGAGAGAGAGAGGAATGAACTACCAAGGTCACCGTTACTGTTTTTTCATGCAAAATAAATAGTAAACCAAGAAATCTCACAGTTTAAAAGTTTTATTTGGGTTTGTTTCCCATATAATATCCGTAATGACTCTTAGTTTTGTTTTAAATTAAAGGATCATGGTTTGTGTTCTAAATTTGTAGCGGTATGTACCACATGACCGGTATACAAGCAATCTGATAAGACGCTTGCAATGATGATATAGACTACAATGAAATCAATCGTCAGTTCGAGACATCATGCAGTAATAAGGTAAACACATTCTTATTTGGTTTTATCACGAAAGGATATCTACATCTAGTATTAACTCCACAATACAAACTATTTTGGAGAGAGAGAGAGAGAGAGAGAGAGAGAGAGAGAGAGAGAGAGAGAGAGAGAGAGAGAGAGAGAGAGAGAGAGAGAGAGAGAGAGACTAACATTTACATAATGTTATGTAAATGTTATGAATGTATATTATATATTCTGTTTTTAAATAGCACATTGTACAGAAATTTGTTTCTTTGAATAATTTGCATCGTTTATGTGACTTTATTTGGGAAATTAATAAAACTGAATGATATGAAAAATTTATAACACCTAATAATACATTTTATGAACCGATACCTGATCCAAAATATACAGAAATCCTGCAACGTGTACTTATGGGATTCAATAGATCGATAAAAATGTATAATTTCGATAATTTCGACGTCAATAATACAATGTTTTATGTCTCAATAATTTCATTATTTATCATTTCATGCATTCTGTTGCTTTTCTAACTTTGATCAATCGATCGAGAGATTGATTTAAATTATTTGTTTTTTCCACCTCAATTGCCATCAAGCTTTCCATGTCTCTACATGTCTCTCCTAGGTATAGATTCTCTTATGAAGAAGACCGTTCTGGTGGCCTAGTGGTTAGAGCGTCCGCCTCGGATGCGGAAGGTTGTGGGTTCGAACCCCGGCTGAGTCATACCAAAGACTTTAAAAAACTCATAGAAAGTCTTTCGAGAAGAGTTGAAGCTCACCTTAAAAATTTGTTAATTTCGCTTGGCGCTTACCATTGAGGTTAGTGTTAGGACTGGTCGGCCTGGTGTCAGGATAATGTGACTGGGTGGATCATCATGTTTCATGTCTGCGGCATGATGCTCCAGTGCTAGACATCACTATAAACTGTCACACTGCAGACATCGTAGCGATATGACTGAAAAAATTGTTAAATTGTTAAAAATCTAAATCACATCACATCTTACAAAACAAAAAGAAAACGTGGGTCAGTGTTCTAAAGAAGCTGAACTTCTAATGCAATTGTGTAACGTTTTCGGATCACACATAGATCTTTTTTATTTCGCAGCATGTGGTTTGCAGTTATTATGACAGTGACGGCGTCCGTGGCAGCTTTCGATGTTACCGTGACCAATCATTGGAATGGTGGCTTCCAGGCGAAATTCACTATCACTACCCATCACGCGCTGCATGGATGGCGCGCACACATCGTCTGCGATCTATCTCTTGACTCACTGGAGGTACAATATTAGGAATCTTAATACAGTATTAAATCTCGGTAAGGTAAAGAAAGTACTAATGTTTATTTCTGTGACTAAATTGATAAAAGAAAATGATGTTTAGTCTCCTTTGTGATACAAATGGTTGTTTAAATTTATGGATTACCTTCGTTGACGCTATATTGTATTGAGGGTATATTCAAGCATTGTGAAACGAAATTTCGAGACCAGAATTTAAGATCATTTCAACTTTTGATACTGGGTTTGAGCCTGTGATCAGTGAATGGACGACAGCTCGACGATGCACAATCTCGACGATCGACAAATTTTCTATGATACTTTAACCAACGACCAAATTATACATTGTCCATTGTGCACATTGGGAAGGACGAATCGCCGAAAAAGAAAACTCATAGAAAGTCTTTCGATAAGAGTTGCAGCTCACCTTAAAAATTAAGTATAATTTACTTAAAGAAATAGGTTTCCAGAGATTGATTTTCAACACAGTTTATACTCAAATATTTAATAAAGCTTTTCTTCATGCGTCTCATGGATATATATATATATATATATATATATATATATATATATATATATATATATATATATATATATATATATATATATATAGATGCAATAAACTGACGACGAACAGTACGAAACTAGTAACTAACTAGCCTAAGCGCTTTCGACTCTTAATGAGTCTTTTTCAAAGGCAAATACAAAACATAGTTACGACAAACAAATAAACACAAAAACGTTGCGTTTGTAAACCTCTACATTTCTATCTTCACATGTGCTAAAACTATAAATATAACCAGCTTGTATAGACTAGTTGCGGAAACTGAAAACGTTGTATAATTCCCTAAAAGTCTACAAGCCAAAGCGACATCTATTTTTATTTTGTGTACATATGTAACGGAGATTATATCCCGGATATTTGGTTCTATACCGGTTATTCTTATAGTAAAAATTGAAGGATAAGAAGATTTAGAAAATGTTAAATTCTACTAGTGCATAGTTTTCATTTTCTAGTCTTCTTGGTTTAGACCGCTTGGTTTCAATGTTCTAAGGCGGCGTATCCAGTATGATTCCTTTTCCTTCCTGGTTTCGGAACTCCAGCTGTGGTTGTTGGCAATAGCGATAAGTATTATATCACTGAAAGTGTGGCCAGGGGAGGAGAAGTGTTCTGCGACCGGGCTTCTGTACAGCTTTTTTTGTCATCCAATCAGATCTATGAAGGTTTATCCTTATGTGTAGCTTTTCAGTTTCTCCCACGTACTGAAGGCCACAGATCTTACATGTGATGAGATAAATCACATTCTCTGTTTTGCACGTTTTGTTTGGACCATGTATGTTTAGTTTTTCTTTAGTCACTGTGCTAGTGAATGTCTTGGTCTCTATCATATGTTGACAGGTTTTGCATCTTTTATCGCCACAGGGTCCAGATTGACTAGGTTGGTTTTGACTAGCGATTGTTGTTAGCTTGGCCCTGACTAGGATGTCCTTTAGGTTTTTTGGTCTCCGGTAAGCTACTACAGGTTTGTTCGGAAGTATTAGGTTTAGTATGTCTGACGATTGCACGGTTGGCCAGTGGTTTGCGATGATTTTACCTACTTTGGGATTGTCTGGGTGATAGGTCAGAATAAATGGTATCCTATCAACCTTTTCTTTCTGTCCATATCTGAGTAGGTCATCACGGTTTGTTTGTTTGGCCCTTTGGATTGCCTCCGCAATCAGGTCTTTGACGTAGCCTCGGTAAATTAAATGTTTAGCCAGCTCTTCAGACCTTTCTAGGAATCTTTCATCGTCGGAGCAAATTCTGCGTATCCTCAGTGCCTGGCTATATGGAATGTTCTTAATGCAGTGTTTTGGATGACAGCTGGTTGGGAGAAGATACTGGTGTTTGTCGGTTGGTTTCGAGTAGATGTCTGTGTGTAATTTGTTTTCCACCAGTCTGGTTGTTGTGTCCAGGAAAACATGGTTTGAGTTGGAAATTTCTGCCGTGAATTTTATTGAAGGATGGAAGTTGTTTGCCTTTGAAATGAAGTCATCCAGACTTTCTCTTCCATACTGCCACTTCATTTCTATATCATCGATAAAGCGTACCCACTGGTATGGTGTACGCTCAACCGATGCTAAGAGCTTTCCCTCAAGTTTTCCCATGAAAATGTTAGCATACGAAGGGGCCATTTTAGTACCCATTGCAGTTCCATTGATTTGTAGGTAGTTTTCTTCATTAAATTCAAAGTTGTTGAGTTTTAGGACAAGCTCCAGGAGTTGGATTAAGAAGTGTGTGGGTGGATTGTTTACAGTTCTTGTTTCCCATGCTTCGCTACATGCCTGTAACCCTTCGTTGTACGGTATGTTGGTGTACAAAGATGTGACGTCTAAGGAAGCAAGTAATGTATCTGGCAGTAATGGTTCACTAGCTTTGCTTTTTATGAGATAATCTGTCGTGTCTTGAAGATATGATGGTAATTTGTGGACATGTGGTCTCATAAAATGATCTAAATATTCTGATATCCTTTCTGTGGGGTGCCCGTTACCTGAGATTATAGGTCTGCCAGGGTTTCCTTGTTTGTGGATTTTGGGTAGAAGATAAAATCTACCTGCTCTTGGGTTTTCTGGGCTTAAGTAGTTTTTGGTTTGCTGGTCTATGTGTCCGCTTTGGTACGCCTCGTCAATAACATTAGTGATGATTTTTGCATATTCCAGCGTTGGATCATGGACCAGTTTTTGGTAGAACCTAGCGTCACTTAGTTGTCTACTTGCTTCACTAATGTAGTCTTCCCTATTCATAACGACAACAGCGGAACCCTTATCTGCAGGCTTAATTATTATGTCTGTTCTGCTTTTCAGTGAGTGCAGGGCATCTGTTTCTTCTTTTGTCAAATTAGAATATTTGTTAGTATGGTTGATATGTCTGGAAATATCGTTTTCAACCGAGTTGATAAAGGCTTCCAGATTCGGAATTGAACTTTTTGGTGGGGTCCAGTTACTTTTCTTTCTAAATGTGGGTTGGTCGCAGCTTATATTTTCCTTTGATTTGTTTGGTGATTGCAAGGCAAAATGGGCTTTGAGTCTTAGTCGGCGGATGAATTCTTCGGTGTCATTCTTAAGCTTCCCTCTGTCGTATGTTTTAGGACGAGGACAGAAACTCAAACCTTTCGATAAAAGTTTTATTTCTGCATCAGCAAGTTCTAAATTGGAGATGTTGACTACTGTGTTAGTAACAGTTGCATTAGTGTTTGTTACAGAGTGCTTGCGATTCTTCCTTTTGCGGCGATTTTTCTTCTTACGGTTGTTTTTGGAAGAAATTTCGTCAATTGAAGTTTCTTCACAACAGTCCATTGGTTGTAGATCATGACTTCTAAATTTTCTATCTCTGACTTTGTATAGTTTCGAAGAGAGTCTTTTTTCATCGCAAGCACTCTGTAACAAAAAATAATGCAACTGTTACTAACACAGTAGTCAACATCTCCAATTTAGAACTTACTGATGCAGAAATAAAACTTTTATCGAAAGGTTTGAGTTTCTGTCCCCGTCCTAAAACATACGACAGAGGGAAGCTTAAGAATGACACCAAAGAATTCATCCGCCGACTAAGACTCAAAGCCCATTTTGCCTTGCAACCACCAAACAAATCAAAGGAAAATATAAGCTGCGACCAACCCACATTTAGAAAGAAAAGTAACTGGACCCCACCAAAAAGTTCAATTCCGAATCTGGAAGCCTTTATCAACTCGGTTGAAAACGATATTTCCAGACATATCAACCATACTAACAAATATTCTAATTTGACAAAAGAAGAAACAGATGCCCTGCACTCACTGAAAAGCAGAACAGACATAATAATTAAGCCTGCAGATAAGGGTTCCGCTGTTGTCGTTATGAATAGGGAAGACTACATTAGTGAAGCAAGTAGACAACTAAGTGACGCTAGGTTCTACCAAAAACTGGACCATGATCCAACGCTGGAATATGCAAAAATCATCACTAATGTTATTGACGAGGCGTACCAAAGCGGACACATAGACCAGCAAACCAAAAACTACTTAAGCCCAGAAAACCCAAGAGCAGGTAGATTTTATCTTCTACCCAAAATCCACAAACAAGGAAACCCTGGCAGACCTATAATCTCAGGTAACGGGCACCCCACAGAAAGGATATCAGAATATTTAGATCATTTTATGAGACCACATGTCCACAAATTACCATCATATCTTCAAGACACGACAGATTATCTCATAAAAAGCAAAGCTAGTGAACCATTACTGCCAGATACATTACTTGCTTCCTTAGACGTCACATCTTTGTACACCAACATACCGCACAACGAAGGGTTACAGGCATGTAGCGAAGCATGGGAAACAAGAACTGTAAACAATCCACCCACACACTTCTTAATCCAACTCCTGGAGCTTGTCCTAAAACTCAACAACTTTGAATTTAATGAAGAAAACTA